GAGCATCTTTTCTACTTTTACTTGCCTTTTCTTAATTTTGTCAGGTTGCCTTTTAACATTTTAGTTCCGTCCATACGATTATTTTCCGGTGCTTTTGTTGCTTTGTCTGCATCAGTGACTCCCTTGAACTCCTCAATCCTATCCATACAAAGGACATTAGGTTATGGAGAGGTTGAGTAGCGCTATATTCCGGCTTTAGCTACATATGAAAACGCTCCATACACCCTCAAATTATTCAGGGATAAAGGTAAGAAACTAAGTGATGAATTGATTGAATGTATTACGTATTTTTGGACAAAAGTGCTGTTTGTCTGTAGTCGTAAAAATGCGTCAATTGAAGTGTAAGTAAAAAAAAACTTTCGTTTCGGTTTCTTCATCTTATCTTGAAGTTTATTCGTATATTCGTATTTGTCGCACTTGAATTCCTGAAAATAGTGTTGTTACTGTGCTAATGCTTTATCTTTTTCAGGATATGGTTGTTCTTGCTGCAACCGCCTTGACAAAGAGGTCTTTTTACTCTGTTCGGGAGAATAATGTGATTGAAACTATCTTATCCCTTGATCCAGATTCTTATTATTGCACCATTGATGGACAGATCATTTCTGATTTTTGTCAAAGATGCCAGGAATTTCCTGGAGATACGTTGTTCCAACTTCATTTTCGCTTGTTTGGGGGGAAAGGAGGTATGTTCACATATGTTTCTTTTTGAACCTAATTTGGCTTTCGCTTTCTTATATCTAAAATCCTAGGGTTTGGATCTCTTTTGCGCTCATTTCGTGTTAATAAAAGTACGAATCAACTGATGTGCCGAGACCTCAATGGTCGCCGTCTCGCTTCTATCGATGAAGAGCAGAAATTAAAGAAATGGATAGAAAGAGCTGCAGAGCGTGAGAAAGAAAAAATAGCTAAGAGGTAAGTTTTGAATTACATTCTCACAATATCTAAATTTACGCTTCTAGAAACGCAAAATACGAGAAATTAAAATCCGGGCCACCCAAACATATGTTCAATGATCCCGACTATATCCGTCAAAAGGAAACTATAATAGAGAAAACAGAAGAAGCATTTGAGCAAGGTATGCATGTTTGACTTCCAAAGAGTGTGAGGATGTAATAATTTTTCTACATACTAATATCAAAATCAGGTTTTTAAACCATAGTTGGAGATGTTTTCGGAAAGATAGATTGCAGTAAATGCCTAATTAAACTAATTTTCAGTGAAGAGTTTGAAATGTTTACTTTTGAGTGCGTATAACAGAATATACTGCCTTTTGTATCAAGGTTTTGTGGAGTATCTGAAGGAAGAACAAGAGAAGAAAGCAAATCCTGTTGTCGAATCTTCTTCGGATTCTGACTTCGACATTGATGATTTACCTGGCGGATTGAAGACGGGAAGAAAACGAAAAGCGAAACCAGCGTCTACAGTGGATGTGAAACTGCCAAAGTTGTATGTTCATTTCTTGAACTATTATTTCCTTCATTTTCTGTCTAAAATTTTCTGGGAAGTTTATGGAACTATGTTGCATGCATCAGTTGTAGCGATGAGGAGGCTGAATCCGATTCTGATTCTGACGAGAACGACGTCGATCCTGAGTTGCTGAACGAGATAAAAGAGTATTTCTCAGCTAGAGATGCTAAGCTTGGCCCACTAGGGACTAACGAGCCATGCAGTTCAAAAATTGGAGATACTGTAAGTTGTCGATATCTAAAGACTACTAAATCTCTCGTCTGATGCTTCTTTTCAAAAATTTTTAAAGGTGAGCGATGCAACCAACGTGACGCAACAAGAACATGAGGAGACTTTTACGGAAATACCTGCACAAGAGGAGAAACTGACAAAAACCGCTGCCAAAGAAACTTCGTTAGAAAATTTACAAGAAGAAACAACTCAGGAGACTTCTGCGAATGCAACATTACCCAAGGAGCCAAAAGAAAAGAAGAAGCACAAAGAATCGAAAAAAGAAGCTGTGGAACCACAAGAGTTCGTAGAAGTCGACTTAACGAAATACGAAAGTGCCACGGAGTTGGAAGCGTTGGGTTTGCAACATCTTAAGCACGCACTTTTAGGTCAGTTCAACATTATCTTCTTAGTTTTTTGATTTGGTATGCTCTTGTGATTCTTTTTATTTCTAAAGAGTTATTCTTTTCAATCGCATCTGTAAGTATGGTGCAAAAATAATGAATTTCCTGCAGCTTTCAACTGAGTGCTTTTAAACGATTTCACGTTAATACAAATGTTTATAATCATCAACCCCTTTTTTCACTTTTTTGCATATCTGCTTATAAGCGGAATCTAATTGTGTATGCTCTTGAAGCACATAGGTCAGGCCA